ACATAATATATTATATCAATTAAAATATTTTTATAATCGTGATAAGACAGGTAGGATTGATTGATACACTTTATTGTATACCACACAAAACAAGAAATTAATGAAAATAATGAGCATGATTTAGAAACCTATACGATAATTATGACAAGCCGAATACACTATATACCCAGACCTCTTTCAATTCAAAAATCCATTACGTTTATTATATTTCATGATAAACAAACCATCGTGTGTCCCTTGAGAGGTAGCGGAAAATACGGCTCAAGAACGAAGTAAAGGTGCATTCACATTCAAAGTGGGGCGTGCCCTTGCAAAAGGACCATGCGGGATTTTGTATCAGCCCCGTCCCCACCACACAACCTCGCTAATGCGGACTCTTCATGGAGAACAACATACTAAACAACAAGTCATGCAACGCCCCACGAACGCCCCGGAGCAGTGTGAACGCACCTTTACACTATAACAAAACTCGGTTATACCTTCGGGAGTACATTTGGTGTTGTTTTAATAAATTCCATGTTGGAAATGATTTTCAAGCAGAAAACGAAAGATGGTACCGAAATGTCCTTTTTAAAAGCGCTCTGGGAGCTATGTGTTTTGATTACAACGGAATAAAACACATAAATAATATTTATAGCTACCCCGAACTATGTGCAAATATGAAACCATTTTTTATTCAAATGATATGTTAATAGGCACACAGAGGTAACTTTACAACTCTAGGTAAGTATTTATTACAGTTTTAAAAATTATACGAGTTTAGATACGAATTACGAATAGACATAGAGACACACTGATAAAGTAAAGTCAATAGGTACTAGTACATCATACAGTATCTTTGTAAAATCTACGTATAACTTTAAAAGAAGTATAACTTATTTGCAACATTAATTTTAGTCACCTAATCCTACTATCCTACTAATATTATAAATGCGAAAGTTTGGATGTCTGGATGTTTGTTACTCTTTCACGCAAAAACTACTGAACGGATTTTGATGAAAGTTTACAGTATTATTGTTTATTCAGATTAACAAAGACTTACAGATTAACTAAATATAGGCTTTAATTTTTGTCGATCTGTGACAAACTAAATTTCACGCGGATGAAGCCGCGGGCAAAAGCTAGTTTTCTATAAATACTTAATCTTATAATCTGACACAATTAAACTAATTTCACAAATTACAAATGTCACCCTTCGTAGTACGAAATGATAATGACCGACAGAATACCAGTAATTTCCACTGGGCAGTCGCTACCGATCTACGACGCTACGGGCTACGGCGTAGCTCTCGTAGTATGGTGAAAATGCCGTAGGCGCGGCGCGTGAAAACTGAGCTGAACTTTTCATTTTTTAGTTTTAGTTTTACTAACGGATTCGCTCGCGTGGATTTTAGTTTAAAGAATAACGCGGATGGGTAACGGGAAGTGCTGATAGGTAGATATACTCGTAGGTATATGAAAAAATTACTCTTTGCGGTGATATTTTATTTAAAAATTACGTTGTTTAAAAATTAGTTCATATCGAGTTTAGACAGTAGGTACAATTAATAAACGGGAAGTTGGAAATGTTCCAATTACACGTTTACGGCTTGTTTATTATTTGCTGATAAATAGCCAGCTTGTTAATGACTTATCTGTCAAATAAACTACAACTTACTTTCACAGGTATTGGATAGAGATACCTAGCAGATATAGTAATAAGTAGTCTTTATTTGTTAAATGGTGTTATGTTCGGTTAACTGCCCAGATAGAGTTTGAAAATGTTTAGATTTCTTCCTCCACCCTAAGATAAGACATAACTGACCATAAAATAAAAGAGAAAACCCAAAAGTAATTAGTGATCCCTTATTTTTACATAAGCGACTTCGATGCTTTTAATTTTTCCGCGGGACGCTTATTGATTCGCCCCAGAAAAAGTTTGCGAGTGATTAATCCAACTAAAAGTTTTAATTAACGGGGTGAGAGGGATAATAAATTAACTCGATAGTCAATAGAACAATACAAGTTTGATGATGACAAATTGAGACAGCAGCAATTAGGCGATCGACTGTTGGTTAGGCAATAATTTATTGATAAACTTGATACTGTTACAGTGAAACTCGTGTAAGTTTCAGTCTGATACAAAATGCTTTTAATCTTTTGTATAATAAAGGACATTTTCTTGTGAAATGTAAACTATACAGGGTGGAAACGATAAGTGATCTCACGCGATTATTTCGAAACTATACAAGATATCGAAAAACTGGTTACTGATCCTGAAAGTGCTTCACGAGCTCTTTCCAACGGTATAAGTAATAGGTTACAGAATTAACTGGATCTATCCGAAAATTCAATGTTTTCAGCCTCCATACTAAATGTATGCCAGGCACACAATATTAGAAGTGTTAATTTTTTAAATTAAATAATAAACACTTAGTATGAACTCGTAAATTGCATTCTAATTTAAAATTATTCATGGAAAACATTGGTTTTAGGCTTTACTTGCTATAATATTATCAAGACATGAGTGCCATGACTGTGGTTACTACCACTACTACTAAATGTATGGAAGCTGGAAACATTGAATTTTCGGATAGATCCAGTTTATTTTGTAACTTATTATTGGTACCGTTGGATAGAGCTCGTGAAGCACTTTCAGGATCAGTAACAAGTTTTTGGATATCTTGCATAGTTTTTAATATAATGTGGTTTTACTAAATGTATGGAAGCTGGAAACATTGAATTTTCGGATAGATCCACTTTATTTTGTAACCTATTATTGATACCGTTGGATAGAGCTCGTAAAGCACTTTCAGGATCAGTAACCAGTTTTTGGATATCTTGTATAGTTTCGAAATAATCGAGTGAGATCACTTATCGTTTCCACCCTGTATGGTTGATTATATCTGGTGGTAGGTACTTAATGTTCTAAATACACATTTTTTAAATATGTACTCGTACGTATGTTTGTAGTTCTTTTTGTATGTAGTTTACACAATTTTAAGATAGAGCTTCGGTAAATTTGAACATAATAAGTAAAAACTATCAATTAAAACTAAATATTTACAAATACAAATGACCTAGAACTAAAAAACGCGACATGGGGGAAATCTATCGAGAATGGATCAATTAACATTACTTTTTTTTATCTATGGAATTTTTTTTAGATTGACATGTTATATCTTGTGAAGACACACGTGTCAGACAGACTTTATGACCCTATATAGACATAATTTGGATTTCCTTCCTTGCACATAATGATATCACTAAGTCATAAACATGCACTCAAAAATATTGGTCTTATGAAGGCACATCAAGGTTATCACTTTGGCACCTTATTAGATTGTAAGAAGGGCGATTTTGTAATAACCAATTACGATTTGATGTGCTACACTTACTTAGATTGGTAAATTTTAAGGTCACAGGTCAGAATTATCAGTCATCCTATATGTATTATTCTAGTTAATATTGTATGTCAGAGGAAAATTGGATAATACAGTTTATATTGTGACGAGTGAAACATGATAATTCTGATTCGTAAAGGTCGTATTAGAGTATAGTGTGGGAGTGTTGTTGTTATGAAGATAAATATAGGATCTAGAAATAAAAATAAAAATATATCCGTGCATAATGTGTTATTTTGGCTTTTACAGAAAGACTACGGACAAAATATGGTTTTAAAAGTTTAATTATAAAAGTCTATTAGGTTATCAATTATAAATCTCAAAAACAACGATCAAGAAATATTAATCTTAAAACCTATTTCTACCATTTCACTTATAAAGTAATACGACTACATAACATTATGTCAGCTCTATAAAAAACCTCTCAACCCATCAACAACAATGCGTCTGTTAACGTACTATCGGGGACTCTTCCGCCTGACCACTTTGTAGAAATTTTAGCGTAAGCGCATCGCTCCGGTCACGTGCTCACCCCGTCTCTAATTGGTTACGCATTTTACTATATTTTTACTACGACCAATAAGAGACAATCAGGGCTTAGGTTGCAATACGAAATACCATTGTGCACTTTATTGTCATACGGTTAAGGTTTAAAACGAAATGTTTCTTTTTCTTCAATCTTTCTTAGTTTTAGGCTGAGTTGCGCCACCTAACTTTGACCGTAGCTATAACGGTAACCGGTGCTTTTTGTATGGAGTTTAACAGATTTTTGACGTTTGTCAAAGTTAAAGTAAGATGGTGCAACTCAGCTTTAGAATTTTAATAATAGAATTTGGTTACAAACAAATAGATAAATTGTAAAAATGATTAAATATTACTTTTTAAATAAAGTGCTTACATCTGATTTAGTAATAGTTCTTTTTAAATTACGTAATTACGCTTTTTAACAATTTATGTGTTCTATTTGATAAAGTAATTTGCTCCGCGCGCTTTTGTACTAAGCGATGAACTGTATTTAAAATGAGGCAATAGCTATGTGAAAGTAAGTATCCGGTATTTTATTTATGAGAATAGAATATCTTCTACCGGCCTCTAATAGTACTTAATCAATTTATTCGATTATGTATTCGATCATTATAGAACCTAATTAACGTTTTATTTTTTTATTAACTACTTAGTCAATTAATTTATTCCATTAGGTATTTGATAATTAAAAAACCTAAATAAACGTTTTAATAAATAAGTAAGTCAGAGCCTTATTAATTTTATAAAGATTAAGAGTGCCAACCCTAACACTCAGTTGAAGTGTAGGTATTTAACTCGCCGAAAGGGCTAAGTTTCCGTACTGCTTTAGCTCATATATCTACTGTGACTCAACTTTAAAGGTCCCTGTTGAAAATGAGTGATGAAAATATGCCCCCGACTTTCTTGGTCAATGCTGAGGGAGACCCTCTTTTGTAGAGGTACACGCAGTTGTTAATTTTGTTTTGCCATTGTGTTTTGTCTTGTATTTGTGTCTGTCCAAAATCTGACATCAAGCAGTTGGCAATCTTGTTTTGCGATTGTGTTTTGTTTGTAAGTCAAATAAAGTTATTAATTTTTATATTTGCAGTTATACTGCGGCTACTTCAAACACGAAGTCGAAGCGAACATGGTGGGCGCGGAGACACTTCTGCACGCGATGGGATACAAACCGGCGGGCGCGGGGCGGCTGGCACTCTACGCTCCCATCTGCCCCGACATGGTGGCGGCCATCTCCCGGGACGCGCTCGTGGCGCAGTGCGAGTGCCAGGTCAGTGAACCCGACCCCTTGAATAGGCGGGGCTAGTGTGGCGTCAGTGGCTTCAAGCCGGCGGGTGCGGGGCGGCTGGCACTGGACGCTCCAATCTGCCCCGACATGGTGGCGGCCATCTCCCGGGATGCGCTCGTGGCGCAGTGCGAGTGCCAGGTCAGTGAACCCGAGCCCTTGAGTAGGCGGGGCCAGTGGGGCGTTAGAAGCCGGCGGGCGCGGGGCAACTGGCACTCGACGCTCCCATCTGCCCCGACATGGTGGCGGCCATCTCCCGCGACGCGCTCGTGGCGCAGTGCGAGTGCCAGGTCAGTGAGCCGAGCCCTTGAGTAGGCGGGGCCAGTGGGGTGTTACAAACCGGCGGGAGCGGGGCGGCTGGCACTGGACGCTCCCATCTGCCCCGACATGGTGGCGGCTATCTCCCGCGACGCGCTCGTGGCGCAGAACGAGTGCCAGGTCAGTGACCCGAGCCCTTGAGTAGGCGGGGCCAGTGGGGCGGCAGTGACTATAAGCCGGCGGGAGCGGGGCGGCTGGCACTCGACGCTCCCATCTGCCCCGACATGGTGGCGGCCATCTCCCGCGACGCGCTCGTGGCGCAGTGCGAGTGCCAGGTCAGTGACTCACTTTCAGCTAGCTTGGGATAAGCTCTACTGCTAGGTGTTGGCGTATAGATGAGATGCGATAACAAGCTGATGGACGGCGGCTATACTCGGACTTTCCCTATGGTATTGATTGGATCAGAAATGAGATCCTTAGGATAAACATAGCCAAAAAGTGGCAGAAGGCGAGACACAGCTCGTAAAAATGTGCCAGAATAATAAACATTCTGTTCACTAGAGCAGTGTTTTTCAACCTGTGGGTCTCGACCCCCTGGGGGGGTCGCCAAGCCTCTAAAGGGGGGTCGCAAGAGGTCGTAAAAACTACTACAGTAAAAAAACATTAGTTACAAAGACAGATTTATCCGAAATCTTAATTATGCAAATGCATTAAAATGTTGTATGGATTGAAGTATTTGGTCCATACAAACATCTTTGTAACGTTATAAAATGCATGAAAAAAAAGCGAACGGTCGGGGGGTTGTCAAATATTTTTTCATACAGGAGTCGTGTCATGAAAAAGGTTGAAAATCACTGCACTAGAGTATCCAAGGTTCTGGTCAAGTTTTGATCAAAGTTTTTTGTTCTAGATTATGTCTCAAGTGTGGGAGGCGGTATGGGGCGGTGGCGCGCGTGTTTCATGGGCCGACGTGTGCCGGGAGCGCGCCGCACGCGCTTCCGACGCCGCCGCTGCCGCCGCGCGACTTGCCGCCGCCGCCGACGGCGCTAATGTGCACGGTACGGGTGAGATTCTACCTTATGTCTGTTGGTAAAGCCTGGTCCGTGAGCACGTAGAATTTTGTCCAATGACCCCAAGCTACCCATCCTTATCGCTCGCGCGTAATTATATTGCTGTCGCGACTGTGCGACGGGCGCCCGCAGTGAGTGTGCGAGCGTTGGAACAGACCGGGTTTTAGATAATGTCTCAAGTGTGGGAGGCGGTATGGGGTGGCGGCGCGCGCGTTTCATGGGCCGACGTGTGCCGGGAGAGAGCCGCACGCGCTTCCGACGCCGCCGCTGCCGCCGCGCGACTTACCGCCGCCGCCGACGGCGCTAATGTGCACGGTACGGGTGAGAACTAGCCTTATGTCTGTTGGTATAGATAGGTAATGTCGCAGGTGTGGGAACGTGGTATGGACTGCCATCGCTGCCGCTGACGGTGCTAATTTTCACGGTACAGGTGGGTCAGCCTTAGATCTTGTAGTTCTTTAGTCTGGTCTGTGAGCACATAGAATTTTGTCCAACGACCCCAAGTTGCCCATCCTTATCGCTCGCGCGTAATTATGTTGCTGTCACGCTCGCACACTCACTGCGGGCGCCCGTCGCACAGTCGCGACAGCAATATAATGAGGGCTATCGTTTTTATACTTAACAGTTGGCACCCCTGGCGATTGACAGGACCTTACTCTACAGTGGCGCCATCTTGATGAGTGCAAATGCGATAGTACTCCTACCACTTTAGCGCTCACAAGTTGGCGCCACTGTTTTCGCTACTAGCAAGTGACAGGACCTTACTCTACAGTGGCGCTAACTGGTGAGCGGTAAAACGATAGCCCTCATTACGCGCGAGCGATAAGGATGGGTTTTGGGGTCGTTGGACAAAATTCTACGTGCTCGCTCACAGACCGGGCTTTAGATTATGTCTCAAGTGTGGGAAGCGGTATGGGGTGGCGGCGCGCGTGTCTCATGGGCTGACGTGTGCCGGGAAAGAGCCGCACGCGCTTCCGACGCCGCCGCCGCCGCCGTGCGACTTGCCGCCGCCGCTGACGGCGCTAATGTGCACGGTATGAGTGTTAGAGAATCGGCCTTATGTCTGTTGGTATAGATCAGGTGTGGCCAACCGGTCGATCGCGACTATTAGTCCAGTCGATCGTGGCAAGGCAAAAAATACTACATGATTGTGTATGTACTAAACTATGCTGTTTCATTTAAGATTTCAAGAAGTATGTAAGTGATAGATCACCCAGGGTTTCGTTAGTAAACAGTAGATCTTATGTCTAATCAAGTTGGCCACCCCTGGTATAGATAGGTAATGTCGCAGGTGTGGGAACGTGGTGTGTGCCGCCTTCGCCGCCGTTGACGGTGCTAATTTTCACGGTACAGGTGGGTCAGCCTTAGATCTTGTAGTTCTTTAGTCTGGTCTGTGAGCACATAGAATTTTGTCCAACGACCCCAAGTTGCCCATCCTTATCGCTCGCGCGTAATTATGTTGCTGTCACGCTCGCACACTCACTGCGGGCGCCCGTCGCACAGTCGCGACAGCAATATAATGAGGGCTATCGTTTTTATACTTAACAGTTGGCACCCCTGGCGATTGACAGGACCTTACTCTACAGTGGCGCCATCTTGATGAGTGCAAATGCGATAGTACTCCTACCACTTTAGCGCTCACAATTTGGCGCCACTGTTTTCGCTACTAGCAAGTGACAAGACCTTACTCTACAGTGGCGCTAACTGGTGACCGCTAAAACAATAGCCCTCATTACGCGCGAGCGATAAGGATGGGTAGCTTGGGGTCGTTGGACAAAATTCTACGTGCTCACGGACCGGGCTTTAGTGTCTCAAGTGTGGGAGGCGGTATGGGGCGGTAGCGCGCGAGTTTCATGGGCCGACGTGTGCCGGGAGAGAGCCGCTCGCGCTTCCGATGCCGCCGCCGCCGCCGCACGACTTGACGCCGCCGCTGATGGTGCTAATGTGCACGGTATGAGTGATAGAGAATCATCGGCGTTATGCTATAATGAATAAGAGCTATTCGTGCACTTTGCTTACCAGTGTCGAGAGTACAGTCTGTTTTAATTTTTTATTGAACTTAGGCTTCGTGCAAGTGTCTTCATTTATTTCGTACGTTTCACCTAATTATAATTAAAGAAATATAAACCGGCCGTGGTCACAGGCTGACAGAGTCAGTTAATTCAATACATAATTGGAATCATTTCTTGGGTCATCAAAAATAGATATCACTGACTATTTTGCCAAACTGAAGATTCAGCTAATTCCGAATGTGGACGGTCTGACTTTAATAGAAAAATCTTTGTTTCAGGTTCAGAAATATATTCAAACATACCCGTGACGGTGACCGACATTCACCACCGGAGCCGCCTAGTGGATGCCCGGTACCCCCGCTACAACGAGACCTCGTTCGACGAGCCCCTCCCTCCCATGCACCCCCCCTACGCGGTGCCCCCCCACCTCATGTACCCCCTGCCCCACGATATCCCCGTCACCGTCACCAGCCAGCTCGTCATGACCCCCTACGGAGTCCCTTACTACTACCCAGTCCAAGCGCCCTATATGATCCCCACACCAGTCTACGCGCCTATCAAACAAGCCACCAACGTACCTATCAACGGATACCCGCCCACAACACAATATAACAGGTATCCTTCTGTACCGACCGCCCAGCTCATCGAACTCGACTCTCCGTCCGTCTACGAAAACGGCCGCTTTGACAAACACCGGGACGACGACCGAAGTCACAGGAGAAGCAGGCAGCCCGAAAGTTCTAGAAGGAATAGCACTTCAAAGTCAGGATTCAGTGACGTGTCGCTCCCTAGTTTGCCGCGGTCTGACACACAACCAGCCTTGAGCAAAGCGAGGGAAGACGGCATGGGAACATACGAGAGCTGGGATTATGTGTTTCGGAATCTTTCGAGCAAAGAGCAGGACGGGGAGACTCGGAGCCGGTATTCCCCGTCTCTAGATCGGGATTCCCGGACGCTGGACCGGTTAGACCGGGAGGAGAGGCGGGCGAAGTATCAGCCGACCACCCTCGACTTGGAGGACGGATTGCAAGCGCTAAACATCGACCGATCGTATGACGAGGATGCGTACCGGACGGCGAAAGTGAACGAGAATTTGATGCGATTGAAACAGGAGCAGGAGTTGAAGCGAGCTAAGCAGTTAGCTAGAAAGCAGATGGACGAGCGAAAGCCTAAGAAACTGGAGCCTATTAAATCCGACGCTTTGATATCGACTAAAGTGGCGCCCGACAAAGTCAAACTTTTAAGTAAGAAGGACGTTAAAGATAGGAAGGAGGTGATAAAGCAGCAGAGTTCTATGAACGGGTCGGTGGCAAGTGTGGAGGCCAAGAAAGTGCGGAAACCGGCCAAACTCGTCGCGGCCGAGGCCGAGCGGCCCGCGCGTCCCGCCAAGCCACTGGAGAATGGACACAGCAGCGGACATAGTTCGAAAACGACGCCTGGTGAGTTATTTTATGTATACTTATTCTTTGAAAATATTAATTTCTCTTTTTTACCTAATAAATGATTAGTTTTCTTGATGACATTGTGTTGTGACGACATTCGTTCAACTGTTATTGTGATGTTTCCCATCTGTGAAAAATAAAGCTAGTGGACTCTCTGTCCCTATAATAATTTCTGTGGGTAAATAAAATTCATTTGTTAGACCTTATTCTTTGCTTTTGGTGTATGCTGTAATAAGTCTAATGTTCGACTTCATGTACGGTCAACAGCACGTCAACGTAAACACTGTGGTATCTTACGTAGTTGCGATAGGGGCGACTTTGCAACGAAAATGTATAGCTTGATTACCACATTTATAAATTTCCATGGAATAAAGTCGCTTACGTCAACTGCCTCACAAGTAATTTGGGCACTATCTCAAATCAAATCCAATGTACTTACATCTCCATGCACAGATCTTGAGGAATAGGCTAGTTTCCTAAAAAAATTTTTTTAGTCCGTAATGTTTAATATCAAAAAATATTGGACACATATATTTTTATTTGTCAATCAAACAAATAATTACATAGTTATGGTGCGTTGAAGTTCCGCACGACGTCACAACGTGCGGCACTTTTATGCACGCATTGACGTCACGGGCCTCCTTTTATGAACTTTGGCGCGCTTTATCTCTTTAAATTTTCATTAGTTTGAAAAAGTGAAAAATACGTATAGAGTATTTTTTGATAAGTTAACTGACGGACTAATTAAAACTCTTGCTTTTTGACCAAGGAAACATCCCTATTAAGGCTGTTCTTATTTCCACAGCGCCGCCGCAAGCGAATTACGACCTTAAGGCGCAGCTGATAGTGTCGCTCGACGAGCCCGACGCGCGCCGCTCGCCGCCGCGCCCCGTCGCCAACGGGGACCCCCCTCGCCCCGCCTCCGCCGCGAAGCGCGACAGGTCAGTCAATATAAACTCTTAATACACTTGCTCGCTTCTATGACTAAGTTTCTTCCACCACTTCTTTTCAGCACCAGCCCATAATGTTGTCCCAAAGTGGTGATAGGGCAAGCTATTATTTGGGACATGTACAAGTGCCCAGGAAAAGGCCTAAAGATTCAAGATCTGCATGCGTTGGTGTGGTTGAAGCTTAAGTGCTGAAAAACTATTTAATTTGATGTTTCGAAGAAGTTAGCAGAAGTTCAAAGAATATGCTCGATACTCATTATAATTTAATGCATCCACAATGTTTGATTAGTATTGCACGAAACCAAGTGTAATTCGTTTCTTGACAATCTTATTCAATTATGCTCGATCGACTTTGCGAGTAGTGTATTCGGGCCTTAAAAATGATGTTTTACACAGCGCCCTCTAGCCCGTAACTAAGCAAAGCTTGTATCACGTAGGATCACCGTTATCAACTAATGCTGATACAATGTGATACAATGAGGGCCGTATTTACACCTGCCTTGTTTTGCATAAAAAAACTACTTGGTACCATTAGCGAGTGACAGCACCTAATAATAGCGCTAACTGGTGAGCGTTAAAACGGTTGGTAGCCCATAAGTTATTACATAAGTGCATGATCTCCTTTTTTGTTCAGCCTTTACCTGGGATCTAGTGTTAACACCAAACCCACTCCCTTCCAGATGGGAATGCTCCACGTGCACCTACCTCAACAAAGACACGGTGGCCGCCTGCGAGATGTGCGGTAAGTCCAAGCGAGGGCCTGAGATCCAGCCGCTAACCTCAGGCGGTCGCGAATGCCCAGCCTGCACGCTCGTCAACCGACGAGACGCGAGGGTTTGCGACGCCTGCGGCACCAGTTTAGACCACTGTCCTACGTATATTTAAACGGTTAAGGGCGCTTTTCGCTTGGAAACGACGATTGTGTTTTGTTTTAATTCAATGGAGGAAAGCAAATGACGATTGTCTTTTGTTTTGGTCGGTGTAAAGAAACGCACATTACGCACATATTGCAGCAGGCTGTCACAGATTGTACACGCGGCCACATTGTTAACTATCCATCTCCGTTTTTGCTCTCGCTCTAATCAAATGGTGATTCTTTGCGATAGAACGAGATGACATGACTGGCAATGGGCAGTTAACACTGTTGCCGATAGTACAGTAACAGTGGCATACATTTTGACAAGGAAACACGAAGAAAAAATAATAAAATGAAAACAAACCGAGCAGTGCTACTCTGTGCGACTTGGTGCGACTTTTGACCGTTCTTATTTTTGCATTATTAATAGACAGTTACANGTTGATATCGACTAAAGTGGCGCCCGACAAAGTCAAACTTTTAAGTAAGAAGGACGTGAAAGATAGGAAAGAGGTGATAAAGCAGCAGAGTTCGATGAACGGGTCGATGGCAAGTGTGGAGGCCAAGAAAGTGCGGAAACCGGCCAAGCTCGTCGCGGCCGAGGCCGAGCGGCCCGCGCGTCCCGCCAAGCCACTGGAGAATGGACACAGCAGCGGCCATAATTCGAAAACGACGCCTGGTAAGTTTATTTTCTGTACTTATTCTTGCAAAACATTCAGTTCAGATTAAGACATGGTTTTGAAACTTGGTTCTATTAGAAACCCGCTTTAAAGCCTTTTCTTGACCATTTTGTGTGATTTAACTGGAAATATAATACTAAGGCTAAATATTATACTAAGTTGTTTTTCAGCTAGAATATTATTTTTTTTAAATACTACTAAAATACCTTTTCTCTGCTTCTTGTTCTGTAGGCTATAGTAACTTAAATCTTCGTCTTTGTGAATAATAAATAAATCACAGGTTTAGACACTACAACATTCGCTATCTACATCTACACTAATATTATAAAGAGGAAAACTTTGTTTGTTTGTTTGGTTGTAATGAATAGGCTCAAAAACTACTGGACCGTTTTTAAAAATTCTTTCACCATTCGAAAGCTACATTATCCACGATTAACATAGGCTAAATTTTATTTTGGAAAAAAATAGGGTTCCTTAAAATATGTAGATAATGTAGTCCACGCGCGCGAAGCCGTGGGCGGAAAGCTAGTAGTAAATATTTTGATTCGATTAAATCGCATAAGTCAACTATTTTACAAGTAACTTATAAGATGTAGCAAAACGGTAACGATCTTAAATCCAAATCGAACGCTTCAGGCTCAGATCTTGAGGAATTAAGGCTATTCTTATTTCCACAGCACCGCCGCAAGCGAATTACGACCTTAAAGCGCAGCTGATAGTGTCGCTCGACGAGCCCGACGCGCGCCGCTCGCCGCCGCGCCCCGTTGCCAACGGGGACCCCCCGCGCCCCGCCTCAGCCGCGAAGCGTGATAGGTCAGTAGACTATAAAAGGGTATTTTACACTTTTAAGGCTTCCACAGACCAAACGCGGGTCAGAAGCAGTGCGGGTCAGTTGCAGCGCGGCTGAGACACACTGAAGGCAGCGCAGTTTCAAGCAGTTGCAACGCCAGCGGTTGTCAAAAAATTCAATATTCGAAAACCGCTTTCAACGCGCTGCTACCGCCCTGCGTCCGGTGTGTCATGCTAATATGGCCGCCATAGTAATACAACAGCGCGGGCCCGCGTTCGCGCCGCTTCTGTCAGGCAGTTGCAGTGCGGCGCGGTTGGAGCGCGGGCCCGCGTTCAAATTTGGTGTGACACACTTCAAAGAGTTTCTTGTTTACAACTTTGCCTTTATCGCTTAAGTTGACAAGTTCTAAGCTGAGCTAAGCTGGAAAGCTGGTGCTTCCAGCTGGTGGGTACCAGACAATTATACATACAATTTACACTTCAAGACGTTCTAAAGAGCCTCTCAAGATGCTTTAAAAAGCATAATCTTCTGATTTGTTCACAGTCTCGGCTAGCTGGTATTCTGGTCGTCAGCTTATTGGTCAAATTAGAGACTAAGAAACGATGAAAGAAAAAACAGATTACATAATATGCCAATTATCAGGTCAAGCAGTGGTTGAATAGCTGCTAAGTTTCCCTATAAGATACCAGTCTGCTAAAAATATTTTCAGCGCGTTGTTGCACGTTCGAAGTGTAACAAACAATAACAATACACAATATTTTAATAATATTGAGGAATGTAGTATGTTTATGGATTAAGGGTAGCGATTGGAAGTTAGGCTCTGATTCTGCACGATCGTAGTCGTAGATTGATAAGTGTAACCAAACTATCCTCATCTTCCTTCCAGATGGGAATGCTCCACATGCACCTACCTCAACAAAGACACGGTGGCCGCCTGCGAGATGTGCGGTAAGTCCAAGCGAGGGCCTGAGATCCAGCCGCTAACCTCAGGCGGTCGCGAATGCCCCGCCTGTACGCTCGTCAACCGACGGGACGCGAGGGTTTGCGACGCCTGCGGCACCAGCTTAGACCACTGTCCTACGTATATTTAAACGGTTAAGGGCGCTTTTCGCTTGGAAACGACGATTGTGTTTTGTTTTAACTCGATGGAGGAAAGCAAATGACGATTGTCTTTTGTTTTGATCGGTGTAAAGACGCACATTACGCACATATTGCAGCAGGCTGTCACAGATTGTACACGCGGCCACACTGTCAACTATCCATCTCCGTTTTTGCTCTCGCTCAAATCTAATGGTGATTCTTTGCGATAGAACGAGATGACATGACTGGCAATGGGCAGTTCTTTAACACTGTTGCCGATAGTACAGTAACAGTGGCATACATTTTGACAAGGAAACACGAAGAAAAAATAATAAAATGAAAACAAACCGAGCAGTGCTACTCTGTGCGACTTGGTGCCACTTTTGACCGTTCTTATTTTTGCATTATTAATAGGCAGTTACATGTTACAAGACAGATAATGTACCATCCTAGATTGCATCCCACTTAACATCAGGTGCGACTGTGGTCAAATACCTGCCTTCTTATGCATAAAAAAAATCATACTACCTACTGCTTCGGAACAGTAACTAAGACAGATGTGTACCATCCTAGATTGCATCCCACTTAACATCAGGAGCGATAGTGGTCAAATACCTTCCTTGTTATGCATAATAAAAATCCTACTACTGCTTCGGAACAGTACTATCGCATCATGCATTTTTGAGCATTTAATAATAAATTCCAATTTCCAATAATAACATTTAATTTAATACCAATCTGTTCTTTCCAAGCGAAATTGTGTAATTCTCAGCGATAGGCCTAGGTGCGTTCTTATGATCGGAAAGTTTAAATCGGGTTGCCAACTTATGTCTAATCATTTTAGTATTTATTTTAATAGATTAGGTTTCGTAAGTTTCTTTAGCACAAACTACGATTGCCAATTTTTTAACGAGGAATGTTACGTTCTGAAACGAGATTTGTATTTATTTTCGTAATTATTTTTGGCAATATAACATAATTATTTCTTGCAGGAAGTAATAAGATCAGCTGTAATGTTACTTTTTTATTACCTTCTGCTAAGAAAATGTTATAGTAAACATGTATTGTTAAACGATATTATAAGCTAAATGTTAAATTCATGTTTCCTAAATATAATACGGATACCTATCATTAAGTTTGGCGTTCTAATATATTTTGACAGATGGCTTATTTACATGCTTGTTTAGCATATAAATTAACGTAATTATTATCTACGTGAGAGTATACTAAAAATATAAACAAAATTCAATTCTTATATGCATATTTCAAAATTGGTAACCAAATGATGTTAAAAACGTATGTGTACAACATACATATACCTATTTAAAATTAATGTTAAGTTTACAAATCTAATGCTACATAATTTATTATCGTTTCACAATAAATAAAACGAGATTGTAATTTTGTATCGAATTATTTGATCAAGCTTGTTTAATCGACATTCCTCATATTGCTCATCATTTCGAAAAACGATGCGACTAATGATCATTCTGTGTTTGAAACAATAATTATATTGTTTAAAAAATGCATATCACACAAGTGATATTGATGTTTGAATATAAAATATCTTAAATGTCGTTCGGTGTTGTTGAACTATTTCTTTCAAATACAGTTTGTATGCATTCGATTCCGGATTGTTAAAATTATAAATAATCAATCAGTTATAAATAAAATAAAAAAGTTACGTATTTTTAATAAACTACAGACGAGAGGCACAGTGGTTTAGAAAACGGATAAAAAATGCAAAAGAAAAGATTTTCTAAGAAATTAAAAAATGCAATGTCTAATTAGATTCAATTATATTGTGCAAAGGCCACACAAAAAGTTATTTTTATAACTGGGAAAAAATGTATTTACTTCGATTAAATACAATTTTGTTTGGTGCAATTTAGATCAATTTCACAAGAGGCAAAAACTGTAGAGGCGAATATTATGTTTATTGTATTTCCGCCATTTATTTCGTTTCTGAACCACTGCGAGTTTGCTCCTGATAAGATAATTTTACAGATTTTTGATGTCTCGCAGAATCTATCGGGGCTTCTTGGTATTATCTGTTATTGTTTTCGTTTTGAGTTGTCCGTTTTTCCTAAAGTGATATTATATGCCATGATGTTTTCAGAGATCGAAATACGTTTACGTAGTGATCAATTTCGTTAACATAGTGATAACGTGGCTATAAACTAATTTGTGTCGTCTTCAACATAAAAAGAACTTGTGACGCAGTACAGGACTACAAGTATGTTATCTAGTAACTCATATTGAGCCAAAAGGAGTCTAGTTCTTCGTCGACAATGCATAAACAAATAATTGTTAAAATCATAATAAATATTCATATTGTTTATAGGTTGCTATTAACTTATTTGTGCTGTGTACTGTGGGGAACATTTTGTATTTATTTTTATACAGACCGTCATTATTTTTGTTCGCGACTGTCGTTTCGCCACACAGGGTAACCTAACATGGGCGCGCGGCTATTGTTAATTCGGATAGATATTTATGTATTATATTGTATGGCCACGAAAGAGGGCGTGCGAGTTGAAATTATCTTGAAATTATATTATAAATAAATAGTGTTCGTTTATTCGCCTTCTAAAATGCTTTAATGTTAGTTGAAAAAAATAGATAACGCTTTTATTTTTGTTTTCTTTTTTGATAAATTATTGATCTGTGTATATAATTGTTAGTGTTTGTAAATAGTAGATATTAAATATATTTATTTAGACAACGCAGTTTGTGATTTTTAACTTATGTTGGGATGAATAAACGTTTAAAATCATAAATTAATCAATAGTTACGAGGACATCAATAAAGGTGCAATTGTTGAACATTGTATGTAATTTTATAATCACAGTTTACGACGATGTGCACAGTGTATAATAAAGTATCGAGGATAGTACACGGAGAGTCAAGTAGCGTTAGGCAGTAAATAAAGCACTGAGGACGTGTATTTTTCTATTTACGAAAAGTAGATTTCTCATACAAACCAGTTTGTAAAACAAGTTGTGCTTCACATTAAGTTGCCTTTAGTTGATTCGAGAAGACTTAAATTATTGTAAAGCAAAAATTATAATAGATAAACAGATAGGAGAAATTATGTCCCTTATATTAATAAAAAAATAAATAATACTGTTTTTCAATTTGGATTTTCATTTCGTTTACTTCAAAACCTTGCACGCGCAGATACGTTTAAAATTGCATATTATTTCTGAGTCGGGGCTCTATATTTCTCTGCTGGATCGATTGTAAATAGGTAATCGATCCAGCAGAGAAATAGATCGATTATGTATTTACTCGAACGTATGCTCGTGCCTTACGTTTTGCCGACGAGCAGCTAAACGTACATATTACCTAACAAACTCGCCATAGCATAGTAATTATCTCCATCTATACTTAAACAGAATCTTAAAAGAAAGGCGGCGAGATGAGATGTGATTTTTTATTTCCTACAAATTAATTCATTAATATTACGATACATATCACAAAGTTTCTTAAATAGTCAGTCTGGTTATCGTGAGTTTTCTATGTCCGGAGTTGGAATTGGAATTTTCCTTGTGATCATGGATACGCTTGATGACTTTTGGAATGAGTCCGCTACTGGAACCGCCCTGCTTGTCGTGACTGTGAGCAAGAACTTTTCCAAGTAGCCCGGGGCTGTCGTGGCTGTTGTGGTCATCGTTGCCTGAAAAAATAAGAGAAATAATTTAAAGCACTGTGAAAAAAAAGCATTGCAAATTTTTGACGAAGTAGTTGTATCCCCGCAATGATAAAAGTGGACAATTTTTTTTTATGTGACAGGAGGCAAACGAGCAGACGGATCACCTGATGCTAAGTGATTACCGTCGCCCATACAAATGGAAAAGAATCTTAGCAATTTTCATCCCCTCCGGTGTCACGGGTGACAATTGAACATAAAAGCTGTGATAAAAGTCACCAGTTGTCCCCTCTGCTCTGGCACGAATCAGAAGGGAACAGTTGGGAAAATGTGTAACCCGGTCGACAACTGGAAAGATAATTCCCAATTGTCGACCGGTAGAGGAATAATTGGTACGAGTATATCTCGTCGAACAGGGTTTTGCTTGATATGGTTAATGACTGGAAAGTGAACAGTTACCAACCTGGTGCGGCCAACGCCACAGCTACTAGCGCCATTGCGATAATCTGAAATAAAATAAAAATAATTATAATAATAGGTATATCTCTAGTTTGAAGCGACATTATCCCAAAGTTGTCGGTGTCGTCGAATCCGAATCTAGTGGTCGCTGGGTTATTGTGGTGATCGTGTGGATTTCATCACGGATTGCTATTTTTATAGGCGCGGCTTTTACCGCACGTCCCGCGTGCGTATCCACGCATTACAATCTTTTATGAAGAGAGAAGATACGTAAAAAATGCTTTGAAAAAAAAAAGTTAACCGGAACCGAGAAAAGATAGACAGTGAAAAATTACAAAAAACGGCAATTGAGGTCATAAGAAAAGCTTATTATACAAAAGGAATAAATAAAAAATGGATCCTTACCAGAACCTGGACCTTGGCCATATTAAAATCCTATTGTTGTCTTTACACAATCCCACACACTGTGGGATAATTTTGATAAGCACGGCTTTTATAGGTGGTAGACCAGGTACGGAAGTCTTCTTAACATGTCGCGGTCATTTGAGAAAATATGGGATTCTCTAAATGGCTAGACATAATTTAAGTAGCTGATAATAATTTTCATCATGAAATTGCTATGTTAAAAGAAAAGTGGTCGCACGAAATTTTGAAAAAGAAGTAATGTTTCAATTAACTCGATCTCCCCATTTCTAAATAATAATAATAATTTATTTATTTCTCTCACAATGAATGAATAAAAGAAATAAAATCTGTTTGCATTCAATTACCAAAAGAGATGACCAAAAAAGCTCCAGAATAGCCAGAAACATAGCAAGTTTCATGTAATCCTTTATGAAATAGTAACTCTATGACATTATCAGATCTTTTGAAAATGTGTGATTTCATATTGTACTGCAACCTTGTACGTTGAACTTATGTTTTTTATGCAAAGCAATGCTGAACTGGTTTGATTTTGAACTTTGTACTTACTCGAGTTAAGTTTACAAGCGATTACTTATGAGTCTTCTACAATTCGATTTAAAAAGTATTCAATACCTACATCATATCAAATGGTTCTGGGTTCTAGTGTTGACTACTCAATAGTACTGTTTAAAAACAATGTTCTGGGTGCGGTTCTAGGAAAACCTACCTCCCGACCATAGGTACTATTTATAAGACAATCATAAAAGAAAAACGTCGAGGTTAGATGTATTATTATTTTATTTAGTACAAAATTAATAATTAAATAGTATTTACCACATTAAGAATCAAACATTTTAAACAGTGGATTGGTTATCGTGATTCTTGGACGTGGACATTTGGTGCGTGCACTCCGGGATTGGAAATTTTGGAATCACTGTGTTTGTGATCACCGACATGTTTGAGGACCTTTGCTACAGGTCCGTCACCAGCACCGCCGTGTTCGTGAATGTGAGAAAGAACTTTTCCAACAGGCCCGTTTCTGGCACCGCCGTTTTCGTGAGTGTGAGAAAGAACTTTCCCAAGATGTCCGTTACTGACACCACCGTGTTCGTGACTATGAGCAAGAACTTTTCCAAGAAATCCGGGGCTGTCGTGGCTCTTGTGGTCATCATCATCTGAAAAATAGATAGAGAATAATCAAAAAGTAAATAGGTAGCCCATTTTTCACTGGCAGTGGCAGTAATACATGGTAGTACCTAGTCCGGCGGTTGTTAGTTCGGTTGACCTAAAGTAAATATTTAAATTAGCTATAAACTATCTATAGCAAAGTTAGCTGTACACAGTATAGAAACGCTTAAGATTTTTAAAAAAACTGAAAATGAGGCAACATTTTCGCACTCTAGCAGTACGGTTTTCAGGGTTGCACATTTTGGGTATTTAAATTAAAGATCTACCCTTTACTCTGAAGGGGCTAAGCAACACAAAAAAATCTTAGATAAGTACATGCGCGTTTTTTATTGAATTCGATTTTGGTCAAATAAATAGTAACATGTACAAAAAGGTACCAACCAGGGGCGGCTAACGCCACAGCCACCAGCGCCATAGCAATAATCTGAAATGAATAGTCATAACAATTTTATCTCTAAATTAACTATTAAATCTTAATACATAGATTCGGATGGACACGGATACATAGATGGAGCGGGCCATGCTTGGAGTTTCCCTGCGTGATCGAATCAGAAATGAGGAGATCCGCAGGAGAACCAAAGTGACCGACATAGCTCGCAGAATTGCTAAAATCAAGTGGCAGTGGGCGGGGCACATAGCTCGTAGAGACGATGGCCGTTGGGGCAGAAAAGTTCTCGAGTGGCGACCACGGACTGGAAGACGTAGCGTGGGCAGGCCTCCTACTAGGTGGACCGACGATCTCGTAAAGGTCGCGGGAAGAGCCTGGATGCGGGCAGCGCAGGACCGTACATTGTGGAAAACCTTGGAGGAGGCATTTGTCCAGCAGTGGACGTCATTTGGCTGAAACGAACGAACGAACATAGATTCAGTCGTCTCGTAGGATTTATGTAATTTGTTATAATAAAAAAAAAATAGGTCCTTACCAGAAACTTGACCATATTATTTATAATCTATTGTTGTCTTTACTCAAGAACTGTAGGATAATTTTGACGGGCACGACTTATATAGGTGGTGGATTACCCTTCTCAATCTGAATTTTCTCATCAACTCGTTTTTTGTATATTAGATGCCTATGTTGCGGTCATTTAAGAAAATATCAGATTCTGTAAATCGAGCGTTTTTATCATAAAATTGCTACACGGCTCTACACTATTACAATGGATGCTAAACATCCGAAAAACTTGAAAAAACTGATACTTTTTTCAATTTTAACCGCCACAATTGTCTGGTGGTAAGAACTTAAGAAGACCACTTGCTTCAGACTCAGGGATCTCGGCTTTGTTTCCCAGTTGGGGCAAAATCGGTTGGTGGTAGGGCTTGTTCTAAGTCCGCCTGGCTCTACTATCCATTTCACTTAAGTCGATCACTATAGTTGCTATGACTAGGTATGATGATCTTTTGTAAATAACGTGATTTAATTTTGCACTGTAACCGTGCACTTTGATCTATGTTTTTTATGCAAAAACAATGCGTACAGGTTTAATTTTGGACTTTGATCTCGAGGTCTTATGCCAAAAATAGATAAAACATTAATGACCAGTGAATCCTTATAGGCGATATCAAACCTTACGATAACTGTTCTATGGTTCGATTTGAAAACGTATGAAATCTACTACTTATCAAATGGTTCTGGCATTGACTACTCAACTTAGGTCCGATTCGACCAAACTTTTATCCGAAAATTACTCCTGGTATAACTAACTGGCACATTCACAGTTTCAGTATGGGAAATATGTCAAAACTTGACGATTTATTCAGAGATTAATATTTACTTTTGTTTGCTCGAACCCACCCTTAAAGTTCTGTGAATAAAGCGATCTTCTTCTTCATTTTCTGTTATGTGAATTTCAACAACTGATGAATCACTACTCTGTCTCACTATTGTCCTCTGTTAAGTACTTACTTAAGTATTCATCGAAATGAAAACATGCTTTTCGGAAAAAGGTTGCCTGCATGCGTGCGTGATAATTATAACAAATTGATTTTATTTTCAATTAATGTATCCCATGAAGTCTCCTTGTCTAACTGAATGCTTACTCTACTCTTCGCTATTCTTGTACAGAAAATAAGGTAGGTTTGAAAGCCTATACTCGTAGGTACGAGTACTAAAACAATATCTGTATACTAAAACATATACCATTAGTTAGACAAATTGTGTTGTTGAGATTACATGTATATTTATTTCTTACAAAATTAATAACTTATGTATTTTCCATATTACAAACTTATATCATTGTTATACAGTCAGTCGGTTATCGCGATTCTTCAGTATCAGTGTTTATGGACATGTTCCAGAACTTTTCCTGCAGGTCCGCTACCGTGACCCCCGTGTCCGTGACTGCTCTCTAGTCTGTGTTCAATACCGTGTTTGACAATTTTTTCTACAGGGCTGTCATGGGCTTTTCCTATTGGCCCGTGGCCGGCACCACCGTGTTCGTGGCTGTTGTGATAAACTTTTCCTAGGGGCCCGTGACTGTCGTGGTTATCGTGACCTGAAAGAAATACAAAGAAATTACAATAAGATGAATATTGTAATTCGAATATGGAGGATATTGTTAATTTCGAAAAGTAGCTTCAGTTTTAAAATTGATGTAACGAACATGCTTTTATCATGAAATTGCTACACGGCTCTACACTATTACAATGGATGCTAAACATCCGAAAAACTGACAGTTTTTTCAATTTTAACCGCCTCAATTGTCTGGTGGTAAGAACTTAAGAAGACCACTTGCTTCAGACTCAGGGATCTCGGGTTTGTTTTCCAGTGGGGGCAAAATTCTCTGTTTTAATAATTTTTAATACGTAGGCCTACTATTATATCTACATTACGTACATTACGTACATTAGTTACGTAGGTAATAATTGTTTCTTTTTTTACATTCATGAGGTAGTAGTAGTAGTGTATAGTGGCATATTTAGAAGGTAAATGGTACCAACCTGGAGCGGCTAACGCTACAGCCACCAGCGCCATTGCGATAAACTGAAATAAACAAAAGAAATAAGTGCTAGTATTCTTATAATAAAATAAAAAGAAAACAAATCAATATCGAAGAAAAATCGCGTATTATTTCAAAGCTAGAGAAAGGAATTCCAAACAAAGACCTGACAAAAGAATATGGTGTATCACGTGGTTTATTCGTCCAAGTGTATTGTATCACACTCGACAATTTCAACCATTTGGAAAGAAAGGGACAAAATTCAAATACTTTATGACAAGAATTTTTTGAAAATGAAACGAGCCAGAACAACGCGGCATACGAAGATTGAGGAAGCTTTGTTAAAGTGGTTTAAATATCAAAGGACAAATAATGTCCCAATAAATGGACCAATTCTTCAACAAAAAGCAAACGATTTTGCTCAACGTCTTGGTGAAGATTTTGTTTGCTCGTCTAGTTGGATTCAACGTTTCCGGGCTCGACATGGCATTGTCGGCGGGAAAGTGAGTGGTGATAAAGGTGCTGTAAACGAATGGATGGCGCAAAAGTGGCCTACATTATGCGAAGGCTACAGTCCAGAAGACATTTATAATGCAGACGAAACTGGACGAAACCGGACTTTTTTACAATATGACACCAGACAGGACTTTAAAAGTCTAAGAATTGTTCGGGAGGAAAAATGTCCAAGACGAGACTAACGATCATGGTTGCAGCAAATATGACAGGATCCTGTAAAAGGAAGCTTTTAGTTATTGGGAAATCTAAGAAACCAAGATGCTTTAAAAACACACGCTCACTGCCGGTAAGTACTGTAAACAAGTTAAGTCAAGTACGAAACTGGGACGCTGAATTAAAAGCAAACAATAAAAAAGTTCTTCTTTTAGTTGATAATTGTCCTGCTCATCCGGCTGTTACTAATCTGAAGTGCATTAAACTCGTGTTCTTACCACCAAATGTTACATCTGTACTGCAACTTATGAACCAAGGTGTAATAAGATGTTTAAAATCTCATTATAGAAGACTGCAAGTGTTAAAGTTAATACAAAGCATTGACAGTAATAATTAATCAGAACAGCTTTACGGTTCTTGATGATATCAGAAGCATGGGAAAAAGTTTCACAAAAAACTATAGCTAACTGCTTTGGGCATGCAGGTTTTAAATATCTTACAAGTCTTATAAGAAGAACCTCAGATGATTTGATTGACGATGATGAAGAGGACAATATTTCTTTGGCTCCATTAGCCCAAAATTTACGACCTGCTTTATCTACTACTGAAGCAGACGAGTTCATTGATGTAGATCAGTCTATTGCAATTTGTGCACCAGCTACGGACGACGATATTGTACGTGAAGTTCAAGAGGAAAATGAAAACGAACAGGAAGACTCGGAAGAACAATTTACAGTGCCAACTTTGATTGACGGTCTCAATGCTGTTAGTGTATTACGAAAGATTGTTCTTTTTAATGAACAGTTCCACATGCAGGGAAATTGTGATGATACGCTGATTACAATCCAACGTGAATTACAAAATGTGTATGCACGACAGAAGTGTTCCAAACTAACTAAAATTATAGATTTTATGCATACAAAAATGATGGAAAATGATATTGTTCTTTTATATTATACGTTTGTATTGAAGTAAACAAAATGTGGTTTAATTTCCTGTATAATATATAAAATATACATATTATTTTTCCTATTAATACCTGTCACTGGTTGTTACAACTATCGGTTTTTACGACTAAATATGAGTAGTCCCTTCGATGTCGTTATAACAGATTTTGACGTAATTAGATATTTATGATTTCAATAAAAAGTAGAAGGCAAATGAAAATGGCTATAGGGCCGTAAAAAGGATTTGAATACAAAAATAAATCCTTACCAGAACCTTCACCATATTTATATCGTAAGTATTGTTGCCTATGGGGAAACCACACAAGAACTATGGGTTAACTTTGATGGACACGTCTTATATATACCATTTTGCGTTCCTCTGTTTTCAATTAACATCTGATTATGTTTTTTATCAATTAGTCGCGAATGTTGCAGTTATTTTAGAATAGGTACAGCAAGTTTTCTAAATGGCCGTAACTCAAGCCTTTTAAACGTATAAGTTTGATCATGAAATTGCTACGCTAACAAAATAGTGGTCGCTCGATATTTTGATAAAGGTACCTAGTTAGTTTTCATATTAAGTATCTACAGGGATTTATTTTAAATAAGCTAAGTATGCCCGCGACTTCGTACCTACGCGTGAATTTCGGTCTGCCACAGAAAGTTTTAATTGCGTGCTTGTCCCCATTCCAAAAACTGGTAAAACCCTGTCCTATATTTTTTTTGTTACATCAGAATAGCTCTAAACTTAGGTAACATAAATATTTACCCCATTGAGGGCTTTTTTTACTAACACTAAATTGTTTTTAATATCTAATCAAAAGCCTGCCTAAGCAATTAAAAAATAACTGCTAATTACGAGTTTTCTTTACACAAGCGCTCATCTTTTCAACCGACTTCAAAAAAGGAGGAGGTTCTCAATTCGACCCGTATTTATTTTTTTTTTTTTTCTATGTTTGTTACGCGATAACTCCGCCAATTATGAACCGATTTGAACAAATCTTTTTTCGGCGTATAGGTAATACCTCAAGGGTGGTCCCATTTAAATTTAATAATAGAAAAAACAACCCCCAAGGGTGGAAAATTGGGGATGAACTTTTTTATACGCAATATCTCCGCCGATTATAAATCAATTTGAACGATTATTTTTTTGTTGAATAGGTATTATCAAAAGGGTGGTTTCATGCGAATTTGAAGAAAATATTTCACCCCCAAGGGTGGAAAATTGGGGATGAACTTTTTTATACGCAATATTTTTAATTTTTAGTTTTTTTTTGTGTTCACGCATTTGAAGTCGGTTTTATTTTTTTTAAAAGTTAATTATACTATCTCAATCCGTTTAATAGCAGAAGTATCCTGTACTCCTGTACCACTTAGAAACTTAAATACTTAACCAGCTTTAATAGCCATGAGTGAAGCTTCTACTCTGCATGACTGGGGCTAACTCTGTTTTTGTCCCTGTCCTTCTTATGTAAAATGTGATTTCATCCTGTACTGTAACTGTGATCTATACTTAGATTTTTTCGCAAACAATGCTGAACTGGTTTTATTTTAAACTTTGATCTCGAGGTGTTGTGCTAAAAATAAACTAAAAAATTAATAAACAATCAAATTAAGCCTATATGGAAATCCGAATCTTAAGAAAACTGTTCTACGATTCGATTCAAGTTGGCGCTACTGAAGAGTAAGGTCCAGTTACTGCTGGTGCTACTGGTGACGCCAACTGGTGAGCGTTGAAGTGGTATGAGGACAATAGCATTTGCACTTACCAGGATGACGCCACTGTAGAGTCAGGTCTCTCTTACCAGTGCAATTGGTGCCAAATGTTGAGCATAAAAACGATACTTAGTCATTGTTTTGGCATTTTATTGACTAACTAGCGGCCGCCCGCGACTTCATACGCGTGGAACCCGTTTTACCCCCTAAGGGGTAGAGTTTCGTAAAATCCTTTCTTAGCGGATGCCTACGTCATAACATCTACCTGCATGCCAAATTTCAGCCTGATCCGTCTAGTGGTTTGGGCTCTGCGTTGATAATCTCTGTCAGTGTGGATAATTCAAAGGTGACTGACTGTCACCTTTGAGTTATCCATATGTTACAGTCAAAACTCATAATAATCGGTCGAAACCACTTTGAGTGCATAAATCAGTCAAAAGTGGTTTTGACTGATGCTCTTGGTCAATATCACTTTTGACAGATTTTTCCAGTCAAAAGTGGTTTTGAACAAATGCGTTACTCAAAAACCACTTTTAGCTGCAAAACATCAGTCTTAATTCATACAAAGTGTTATGATTAGTGAACATTACTTGGAAATCATTAAAAATGTGTTATAAAACCATTTTAAAGTATATTTTTTTAATATAATTTGTGCATACCTACAACGTGATTACACCTACCTTAGGTCAAATTCAAATTCAAATTATTTATTGCTCCAATGTTGGTATATAAAAGTTCTTACATATAGACATAGACCCAAAACATGGACCCTGCTAGGGTATTGCAACTTGAGATTAAATCTAATAGGTACTAGTTACTGTAATGTTGATTTTTAATTCTTATCATATTTTTAAGAAATCTAGGTATTTGTGGGGCGAAATATAAGCAAAATCATTAAGTACTTTGTATGAAGTTTGGACTGATTGGTAAAATTTTAAATCAGACGAAAGCACTATTGACTGATTTTTTGCATTCAAAAGTGGTTTTGATCGATTATGAGTTTTGACTGTAACATACAGGGTGTCCCAGAATGGGTGAATCAAACTGATAGGGGAGGTAGCTATACTAATGTACTATCCCAAAAAAATATGGAAAAAAAATTTTGAGTTCGAAATGTTTTTTATATAAAGTGCTCTAAACTCGAAATTAGTCATAATTTTCAAAAGTTTGTTTACAGATAAACGAAGCGATCATGTACCATTAATATTAGTAAGAAAAAAGTACAAATAAACTCCAAACGCAGCAATTATAGCCAGATACTTAGGCAAAGCTGATTTATTTTCACTATTAAAAAAAAAAAAATTTTTATATTTTTTTGGGATAGTACATTAGTAGAGCTACCTCCCCTATCAGTCTGATTCACCCATTCTCTGACACCCCGTATATACGAGTATTTAGATAGATTACTCGATATAAATTGTAACTGAAGCAATCTTCTTTAAAATCTTTTTCTGGTAAATGATTTGCACCAACTGAGGTCCCATATCCCATCTTATTCTTTTCGGACAGTGTGGATTGAATCAAGCCTGAAAAAATCGGTCATGAGCAAGCATTACATGTCACGAGCGCATTGAGTTCTGTTTTATCGCGTTGTGTGGTCACGATAGGGGGCGTACGTGTTGTTAATTCTTAGAGTAGGCGCACACCGTTGATTTTTCGTCGGCCGATAGTTTAGTCGGGCAGTTGATCAGTATGGGCATGTATGGGAGTGCGCACACTACGCAGATTCGATTTGGCCGATTCTTCATACAAATTAAAATCGGGCACAACTATTGGCCAACTAAAAATCAACGGTGTGCGCCTACTCTTATCCATAGACTCTTTTCGCCCAAAGCACCAAGCCAACGATGAAAAAATTTCGTTGTATCACAGAATAATATATATTGTTGCATTTGGACGGTACAATTTGATGATGTTGGTTCGGAAAAGAAATAAAATACAGAGCCACCTATTTGTAAATTATTAACTGTCAAAAATTTAGTGGCAATCACACGATTAAGGAATTTGCTATTAAATTATACATTATATACATCCTACTTACGAGCAAAAGTATGAAATCATCCCGTTTTGTTTGATTCCGAATGAGTATGTGGGTTTGCATTTATTTATTTTATGGTATCAATTAATTTAAAGTAAATAAATTATTATTATTTATCTGCTATATTTCTTACGATCGGAACAAATTGGCTGATTCCATACTTTTGCTCGCGAGTGTAGTAGGTGACTGCAACACATATTAGTATTGTACAGGTTGTACTGCTAGTTGCTACGTGCTACTGTCCACGAAGAAAATTTTGTTTTGTATGTAAGCTGCAAACAGGATTATGCGTACAAAGACGCGTACGCGTGTCTAGTACTAGTCTAAACTCTGATTTTTAATTCGACGGAATTTTGACATTTCAGAAGTGTTGTCAACACTGAAACATTCCCACTAAGAATGGAGAGCATTTTCATGAATTAAAAAATAATCCTTTCTTGAATTTAAGGTTTCACTTGAAAAACTAAGGCTTAAAAATGTACCGATCATTTCAAAATGGTTAATTGAATTTTTATTATCATACTTTTGAAGTTACAAAAAAAATTGGGAAATTATTTTTCTATTACTGGTCTCCCTGGCCAATAATCCATGGGTTACAAACCTTTTTTATGAAAATCCTTTTGTTAATAAAATCTTAGCTTCATAAAATAATCAACTTAACAAGATGCCAATTTTATAATCCAAGTTGATTATGAT